CCAGCCAGATGGTTTTTATCCTCGTCGTCATAAGACCATCGCGGTCTTTTTCAACATTTCGAAAGAATTTGATAGAGTCTGGCACGAAGGACTTATCTACAAATTATACAAAATAGATCTCCCTGATCGTCTTGTACGTCCCGTGGACTCTTACCTGAAGGATTGTACCTTTCGTTTTAGACAAGAAGGAACGCTTTCCTCTCAGTGCCCCATCAAAGCTGGTGTCCCTCAGGGCTCGGTACTTGCTCCTCTCCTTTATATCCTGTTCACCAACGACATTCCTATCCCGTCGAAAGAAGTTCAGCTTTCCCTCTTCGCAGACGATACTGCCGTCTATTGTAAAGGTATCTCGCTACCTTTCATACGGAACAAGATCCAAAAGCAAAAGTGCAGATGCACTCACCAAGCGAAACGCAGAGGTAAAACTTTACTTTACGCTGGTTTTCTGTGAGGTTGTGGTACCACCCCGGTTCGAGCCGGCCCATCCGTGCGACAGCAAAAGCTGCCGCGTGGCTCTACCACTGTCCTTTTCTGAATGGTGAACGTAGCTCAAATATCAGTAAACGAAAGCTTATATTTATATTGGTATTAGTTTTATAACGGCCAGCTTATTTCCCAATACACCCTGCATCAGGATGTACTGGGAAAAAGATGGCGAGACATTGTGATTGCAGATCTTATGTCATGTAATCATTTCATTCAAATATTATAATTTATGAGGTTTCACTTCAATTTGAAAGTCATTTACCTTATTTTAGTTTCTTGCACTATTTGATGTTAAGAGTTATATAATTACTTACTGAACATATCTTTTCTTTGTAATTGATAATAAAATATGTTCTTGTTAACTTATTCCTAGTGATGTCTCTCCGATTCCCTATAAAAATAACATAATAAAACTACTTGATAATATTCACTTCAATTTTGAATTACAGTTGTTAAACACTACTTATTTGTATTTATGGAATAAGTAAAAGTAGAAGAGAAGCAGAATTTAACTGTAAAGAACATACACACAGCGATACCGGCGGACGATGCGGGCGGTATCGATGAGCAGTACCTTCTGAATTTGACCTCGGAGCGGTCCGTCACGGAGTTTCAGTTGCTTCAGATGACCTCACAAGTTGACCGGGATTAACCCGTTTGTAGAAACGACCACAGGAATAATTTCGGTCGGCAGACCACTCTACATATCGGTCACTTCTTGAGACACGTCAAGATATTTTGTCTGCTTATCTGTTTCGGCTTTCACGAGGTTCTCTTTACAGTGAAAGGTAATGTCTTACTTACTTATCTTCACGCACAATCCCTGACGGGGTAGCCAGAGAGAACAGATCGCCAAGTTTCACGATCCTTGCATACCTCTTTCGCTTCTTTCAGATTTATTATCTTCTTCATACATGCACGTCTAGGTATCCGAGTACTCTTGACCCTACCCTCTTCGAGCAATTTGCTCACATGGTCTTCGAAAGTTAGTCTCGGTCTACCTCGACACCTCTTAATATTAACTTTCGCGCTATATATTTTCTTCACCATTCGGTCTTCACTCATTCGCTCAACGTGCCCAAACCACCGAAGCACGCCCTTATCAATTTTTGTGATAAGGTCATCTTTCAAACCTGCCATATTGCGAATCTCTTCGTTTCGCTTTCGGTCGGCCATGATAACGCCGCACATTTTACGAAGAGATCGCATCTCCACTGCATTCAACTTGCTTTTATGCTTCTTCTGGCATACCCAGGTTTCGCTGCCATATAACAAAGTCGGTACTAACACCGCGTTATGTATTGCAAGGCGTGCACTCTTCACTACGCCTTGTCTTTTGACTAACGCAGTCAGGGCACCATTGACTTTGTTCCCGGCAGCGACACGCCTGTCCACATCTAAATCACATCTTTCATCCCGGCTAAAAGCACTCCCCAAGTATACAATTTCATTTACTTGTTCTAGACATTCCTGATTTACCCATATTTCACACTTAGTTCTCTCTTCGTCCCTTTCAAATACCTTAGTTTTATTAGCGTTCAAACGGAGACCTTTAATTTCACATTCCTCTTTCATACACGTGACTAATGCCTGCAGTTCTACCTCTGATGGTGCAATAAGCACTGCATCATCAGCATACATCAGGCAATTTACTTTTATGTCACCCAATTTCACACCCAAACAGCTATCTTTCAGCTTCTGTAAACAGCTGTCGAGATACAGTATGAACAGCCAGGAAGACATGACACAACCCTGTTTTACGCCCGTTTGGACGCTAAACATGGGTGACAGGTCATGCCCTACCCGCACTCAGGCTTTACAGTCACAGTTAAGAGACGGCACAGCCCTTAGCAATCGACCATCCACACCATACCCCGGCAACAGTTCCCACATTTTCTTCCTTACAACCTTATCAAATGCTTTCTCAAGATCCACAAAAGCACAGAAAATCTTCTGGTTAGCAGCCAGAAGCTTCTCCGTGATCATGCGGAGAGAAAACATTTGATCCGTGCATCCTCTTCCAGGTCTAAATCCGCATTGTGCCTCCCATAGAAATCTTTCCGATTTCTCTTGCATCCTACGTGTCAAAACCTTCGAGTAAACTTTACTTGCTAAACTGGTCAAGCTGATCGCCCGATAGCACCCGCAGTCAAAATGTGAACCTTTACCTTTATATAAAGGCACAATGACTGCGGATCGCCAATCATCCGGGACATCCCCCGTCCGCCAGCACAAATTGCACAGCAGATGAAAGCTGTCCCAGACGCGAGGCCCACCATACTTGACCATTTCAGCAGTAACTCTGTCTAGTCCCGCAGCCTTACCACATTTCAAACTTCAAATCGCACGTTCAATCTCTTTCATACTGATGACCTCAGCGTCATCGAGGTCCGGGTCTGGCGTACCAGTCAAGGCGTCATCCCCGGATCCCTCACTAAGATCATCACACGCATACATTTCTCTATAAAATTCGCTCCATCGCTGCATGACGTCCGATTTTTCTGAGAGGACGTCATTAGTTCTCGAAAGCACTTTGTTCATTCTTAAGGCCGTCGCACCTCTTCGGGTCCTTCCAACCTCTTTCCAGAAGAGTTTGGAGTTATCCTTAAAGTTGTGCGACAACCTTTCGTCCGCTTCCATTCTACACCTTTCACGCACTTCCTCAATCAATGCTTTCGTGTGAACTTTCTGCAGCCTATATCTTTCTTTCATCTTCTCTCTCATATCCTTATCATTACTAGAGGCCAAGTAGTCTAACCATGCTTTCTTCTTCTTCTTTACAGCTTCTTTCACTTCATCATTCCACCATGCATCTCTTCTTTTACTACTGCCTCTTTTTATTGTTCCACACACTTCTTCCGCTGCACTTACCATTCCATCCCTAAGGTTCTGCCATGTTCTTTCTACACATTCGTTTCTGCCATCGATGGTGTCAAGCTTTTCCGCTACCCTCGCATGATATTTGTCCCTAGTATCCGCTTCCTGAAGCTTCCAGCTTCGGATGCGACAGACCTACTGTGGTTCTGTCACTGCCGTCCGGTAGCGCCAACCCGCGAACAGACCCCTAAATCTAGTAATCACTAGATAGTGATCCGTTCCCAAGTCAGCACCCCTGAACACTCGCGTATCCATAACCTGTTTTCGCAGTCGGTCTACCACCAGGAACAAATCGATCATACTTCTCTCATTCTTTCTTTCTCTAGTATACATATGGATTTTCTTGTGATTAAACATAGTGTTTGTCACAAGAAGACCCTTTTCCTTGCATACCGCCAGTATAGGCTTGCCAGCATCATTAACCCTTTTATCGCCAAACTTTCCAAGTACCGACTCGTACCCTGGTCGAGTGGTACCAACCCATCCATTCAAATCACCACATACAACAATTCTTTCGTTTCCCCTAGCCAAATCTAGAACTTCTCTTACATTCCCCCAAAACTCCTCCAGCTCAGCCCTGGACGACGAAGCTACCGGAGCATAAACGGCCAAAAGGAATAACTTCGTCAGTCCCAATTTAAAGCGAACCCAGAGAAGTGTTGAGTTCACAAACTTATATTCAGTCATAACATCGACCAACCGAGAAGACAGCAGCACCCCCACTCCCTGGCAGGCGTTCTCGCTCTCCGGGATTCCGGACCATAGAGCTAACGCCCCGCCAGGGAGCTCTTCAGTACCACTGCCCTTCCGTTTGGTCTCCGACATACACACGACATCTAATTCTCTTTCTTTCATTATTTCGATCAACTCATTCGTCTTATCTCTCATGCCTCCTCTAACATTCCACGTGCCAACTCTGCACTCTTTCCTCCACCTTCCGCCGTGTCGGGCTGTGCGTGACGGGTGGCGGTCCCCATCGCCGCTTTGCGCGCTGCATTCCACACCAACGGGGACGAGCTGGTGTGCGTCGCCTTGTGGGGACGCCCTAACCCTCGTTGGCATGGGTGCGCACCCATGCCAACGAGGATTAGCTGAGTAGAATTGCAGCCCTGAAAAGGGCTGGCAGGGGTCGCGACGAGCACGCTTCTACAAGGTAAAGTCGATCAAAAATATCTCTTTGACTGTCTATCAGCACAATATCAGGCTTATTCGCAAGAATAGTCCTGTGTGTGATGGCTCGGTCTCAGTAGAGCCTGGCGCGGTCATTTTCAAGCACCGATTCCAGTAAGTTCTTATGATATGGCAGTTTCCGATCCACGAGATCGTATTTTAGAGCAAGCTTCTGGTGTAGAATCCTGACTACAAGGTTGTGCCTGTGCAAATACTCAGAGTATCAAAGCGCTGAACAACAGTAGATTTCCACAAACACCTAGATTGACAACGAGGAGCAATCACAAAAGCAGAATAACCTCAACAAAAGTAGCGATAATAACAAATCCTTCCTTGAAACCAAGCCCATATCAAGAGGAGGGAATAAAAATATTACAAGGAGAAGAAATTAATGTTTAAAAAGGAAAGAAATGAAAGTTCAAAATGAGAATAAATAATATAAAATTTATTAGGTACATAAACAAATATTATTTGCGTTTCTTCTCATCTTCAGTATGTATTTCCGTAGAAGTCAAAGATGAACGCCGTACAACGTTATCGTACTTTATGTCAAGCTTGTACGATTCGAGCCTCGATTTCTGTATCATATAACGACTTAGATTTCTCGGTGCCTGTGATCCAATATACTGAAAAATAAAACAATATTTCAAAAAACATTCAGCACTATAATATGTAAGCGAATTAAAGCCTTGAAAATGAAGTCAAAGAAAAATGAAAGTGAACAATTCATCGCGAAGCAGCTATGTAACCTGTCGTGAAGCGACAATTAAAAAAAAAATAGAACCTAACCTAAGTACAACAAAACAACAAAAGTAGAGCCAGAAAACAATATATTTAAATTTATAAAAGGTATTTACAATTTTATAAAAAAAATGAAATGAGGATGATGATGATTGAAGTGAGAGTACAATTAGATTATATAAAAAAAAATTAAGGTGAGAGAGTAGGGGAATATAGCGTTGAAGTGGGGCCTAAAAGTCGAAGCGACACACGTTGCGTTTGTAGAAGTAGGTTTCTTAGCAGCGACGGCACGCAGCGCCTGAAGCCAGCACACGCCGTTTGCGCTTGTAGAAGTAGGTTTCTTAGCAGCGACGGCGCGCAGCGCCTGGAGCCAGTACACGCAGCGTCCGGAGCCGGCGCACGTAGCGCCTGGAGGAGGGGCGCGCAACGCTTAGAGCCAGCAGTTGCAGCGCCCAAAGGTAGCGCCGGCGGTAGGTGCACTCGGCGCCTGGAGTAAGTAGTAGTAGTGCCCGGAGTAGTGTGGCCCCCGCGCTTGTAGTAGACTCGAAGCGACTTCCGAGGTAGATGGAGGCTTGTAGGATTCCGGAGTGGCGCGGCCCGAGTTTGAAGAAGGCTTCGCCGAAGACTTCACGTGTAAATGGAGGCTTGCAGGATCCCGGGGCAGTGCGGCCGCGGGATAAGGCCTTTAGGAGATACTTCTAATTCGCGAACTGAAGCGAGACTGCCTTTCTTCACCGATTGTTCGGCTTTTATACCTTTATAGAGAGAACGGAAAAATTATTTTAATTATACGCAAATTTTTTGTAAATGGTCAAGAGAAAAGAGGATTTATGTGGAATTATCGAAATAGGAATCGAATAGAGATCGGTAGCAAATTTGAATATAATTACCATGGAAACGATATAAATAAGAAAGACAAAACATGTCAAATTTTTGTTTTTGGTTTATAATAAGAAAACGGTAAGATTTAAGTGGAAAATGAGATATTATTGATATAGGAAAAAAGGTAGCGCAGCTGTCCACACAAAGCCCAAGATTGTAGAGTTACGGAAAACTAGCTAAAAGATCGAAAAAAGGTAGACTCCATTGACACCAATTTAAAAGTGCTGATAATGTGAAAATACGAAGTAGAAATGATTTGTTATTGTGTTCTTATGGTTTAAAATCGTTACAGGATCCTATGGAAATAAAGGTGATGTAAAATATCCAGTTTTGAGGTGAATGCAGAAAATCGAAACAGAATGTAAAAATGAATTTAAAATAATGTAAAATGATACGTAAGTAGTATAACACTACAAACCCTGCGCACGCGACTCCATCGCCGTAACATCAATTATTAACCATTGTAGTTCAAAAGTTTTACCACATTGAAAGTCCTGAACTTTTTTTATCGGGAAGTAGGTTTTAAATTGATTGCTAAATTTGTACTTAAAAGGCAAAGAAACAAACGGACAGACAAGAAGGTAAGTTTTATTAGTTTTTCATCAATCTTTCATCATCTTTCATCTATATTTAAAGTTTAAAGTCTTTGTATATTTAAAGGGTAAGTTAGTTTACAATCAAATGCTAAATATGTACCAAAGAAAGAAGAAAGCGACTTTTTACAAACTTGGTTAAAAAGAAGACATATTCATATTTCAAACACACAATATTATATGAATATTTCAATAATTGATACTTATATAACAAATTTTGTCACTCTTCCTGTCGATTCACCGTATGTTACTCGTATATACTTGAGTCAAAATTTCATAATAAAGATTTAAAAAATTAAATTGTGTACCAAATGTTTTGCATCGATGGTTAATTTTGATTTTTTAGGATTAATGTAATCAATGTCAATCCTTACACCCAAATTATGATGAATATACTAACATTATTTTACAAAATGTCACTATTCACACATTGGGTTCAATCTGCTGACTAATTAACTAAACTCTAGCGATAAACTTTGATTAAATTTGCCCACATTTTCCCTGTGATAGTAGTATAAGAGAGAGCCCGTCACATCTTTTTGTCCCGTAAATGTCGTAAGATGCGTTTTTAGGAAATTAAAGAAATAACTTACGGCTTTCTATATATGGCAGAATAGTCGTCTTAGTTACTCAGGGTGTAATAAAAATAATGACCTTCAGACCAAATTTTGGTTATAGCGGCCGATCTCAACGTAGATTAACCATTTGCGATGGGCAGAATTGTCTGCACGAGCGCAAGAGTGTGCGTGGGGCATTAGTATGTACACAAACATAGTCGCACTCCCTATTCCCTCAGTCTCTCATAGTCCGATGGAATGTCAATTCGAAGAGACCTGATAGATATCAAACATAGGAGCAACGGCTTCACGTGCTTACTAAATTACAATGGAGAAACACCACCAACTTGCTAGCTCCTGGCTGCAATTTCTTAGCAGAAAATCTAACAGATGATTTTTGGTGAGAATCTGGATTCAAAATTGGGACTAAATTATGAGCAGTCTTGCTTGAGGCCACGAGATCAACGAAGTAGTCAGAAATAAAATACTCAAACATCTGAGCTCGTCTGATACTAAAAAATACTGCGTCGCCAGTACACCCCCACAACGGGAGACGTCCAGGTCCAGGAGAAGACTTTTACGGGCGAGGAAGGAAAATAAGATATTGCACACACAGCTTTACCGGAATGTTTCGACAATGTACTTACCAATCCGGTAGCCCAGCGTGGCAGGCATAGGGTAAAAGTTCTATTCAGCAGCTATAAAGGATATTATTACCTTTATTTGTAAAATTTGATCATAGTAGAGCCACGTTGCATTACTCTAGTTGTTATACGGCTGCATTACGAGTGAGCTGGTTAGAAGGAACATGATGTTATAAATACTAGATAGAAATCGCAGCATAATGCTGCTATGTTTTGTATGGTGAGTGACGAAATAGAACCTTTTTTTCTAAAAACGATAAATTCTAGATTAATCTAAATTAAAAATCCTCAGGGTTACATAGCAACTGGATTTTGATTCTTAATAAAAATAAATTATAAAGTTTTTAAAATAAAGAATAGATGTAGTTGTCTTTAGACAACAACTTACACTTACCACCATGTGATTGTGTTGTCGTTTTTCAAACTTACTTCTACTAAACAGGCACTATAGTTCATACAAAATAAATGAAAATATCTTTTTGCACTTAGCTATAAGAATGTATAAATTCATTAGACTTTAAAAATACATCGGTATACTCACATTTCGAGAGTCATATTGTTTCCGGAGTCGCCGGGTTTCTATGTCCTTAGGACCCCACTCCGAATGAGGTTTAAATACACATTTAATATTCTGAAACATTATACACGACAGTTCAATTAAGCGAGATGGTGAAAGTATATAAAATAAAACATTATTTTGGGAATTTCCAACAGGAAAAAATTTTGCTATTTTTGTAATCAGGAACGAATCTACCCCATTATTCTTCTGAATAGTATTTTTAATAATATAAATTTATTATAATGTAACTAACCTCTCGACTAGAAATAAAAAACTGCGGTTGCCAACCCACTTTCCAAGGGTAGCCACTATTACAACCATCTCCTCTTTGAGGCAGTCTACGCTCAGCAATGGACTTTAAAAGGCTGTAGTGGAGGCGGTAATTTACCTCTAAGAAAACCAAAAAAATCCGACCGAGTTCTGTCTGATCGGCTCGATACACTGGCACTGCGTAGAGATGTTGCATCTCTTTGCGTATTTAATCGCATCTATCACGGGGAGTGCTCTGAGGAATTGTTCGGACTAATTCCAGCCGCTCAATTTCACCATCGCACATCGCGACAAAACTCGCGTTACTATCCATACCATCTGGATGATTGGCGGTCCACCACTGTGCGATTTAAAAGAAGTTTTCTTCCTCGCACAACTTCCTTGTGGAATCAATTACCACCAGCGAATTTTACGAACCGATACGACTTAGGAACCTTCAAAAAAAGAGCTTACACCTTTCTAAAAGGCCAGCAACGCATCTGCAATTCCCCTGGTGTTGCGGTTGTTCATGGGCGGCGGTAGTCACTTACCATCAGGTGAGTCGCATGCTCGTTTGCCCCTTCTTCTATAAAAAAAAAAAAACAAAAAATTCAATTGAAATATTTCTTATATATTGCAGCGTGATTGATAATCACTGATTCAAATGAGGTTAAAGTATTTTATTGCATTTAATTTAACTTAGTTTCCCTACGTTTAAAGTACTTTACAGCACTTTAGTTTAGTTCACTTTAGATGAGTGCTAAAAAGTGTCGGAAACTTCAGGAAATTTAAACAAGTTAAACGCTATAAAAATCTTTCAACATTCGTAAAATTAAAAAGTTTGTTAGAATTTTTACTATATTTATTCAGAATCTGTTCATCATCATCAGCAGTAGTGTTAAAAGTAACAGCTGGACATTAATTTAAGTGATTGTACGCTAGATTTGCTTTTTTGTCCTTTTGATTGGTGATCTCATCATCATCACCATTACAGTCTATATAAGTAAACTGCTGAAAATAGGCCTTCCCAAGGAATTGTGGCATTTCTTGGGGGAGGCCTATGTTCACCAGTGCATGGTACTGAGCCTCCCTTACCCATCGACTTCCTGCCTCTCTTTCCAGGTCGTCACTACACAAAGTCGGAGACCGCCTTACACTTCTACTATCAAATCTAATGTAGTGACCCGCGTTAAAGAACACATAGCTGATGTGAAGAATAGACGCTCCGGGAAGTCTGCAGTCTGTGAACATGTACAGGATCGCCCCCGTCACTACATTAGATTTGATAGACCACAAATCCTCGCTAAAGAACACCGATTCCTTCCAAGGATGATTCGCAAGGCTATTGAAATCAAAAAACATCCTAATTTCAATAGAGAAGATGGCTGGGTGCTACCATCTGCTTGGGATCCCATAATTAATAAAATTAAATCCCAACCCAAGCATACAACTGCAAGACTTCATGATACTGTAAGTTCATACTGCGTAGATCGGAACTAAAATTAATAATTTTTAATCTGGAGATAGCCGTGGTTAACTATGACATTGGGACGTCATACACCTCAGTCCCCCCCGTGACCATGGGTGCTGTAAAGTGCTTGAAACGTCGGGAATGTAAAATAAGTTAATATACGCGATAAAATCCGTAAAATTAGTTTCATTTTAATGTTGCTGTGTTTCTAGTAATGAGTGTAAAGAAACAGTGACCCCTTTTACTGGATAAAGCATTAATATTAAAACCCCAACAATGCATCTGCATTTTGAATCTGAATTAAGGGGAAATAATATAGATTTCTACTAGCCACGGTACCATTAGGTAGACTGTGAGTGTTTATTTGTCACCCTAAATATATAAAAAAATAACTCGAAATCTCTTACACCGTCATCACGGTCAATGAAACTTTCATAATTTATGCAATAATTATATATATATATATATATATATATATATATATATATATACAAATATATATTTATATTTATTGAAATTTAATGTTGCCTTATTAATTAAAAGCTAAGTGGAAAAATAAATTATATTGAAAATTACCTTTTTCTTTATAAAAAGACATACAAACGCAGCATAGACTGCACCGAGTAAATAAGGGACACTCAGGAAATATAATATATTTTTATAATTAGTATTATTAAATTTTTCAAACACCTTGAAAAGTCCTTCATACATATTGTACATTTGTCTCTAAAAAAATTATAACCATTTCAGCATGTCATTCATTAAGACTCTAGAGAAATGCGGCGGGCAATGCCCCTATACCTATTAGCAGAATTTATGTCATGTCATTATTTAAACAATGGAATACCCATATTAAAATTATTGTCAATAGTACGGGCGTGTAACAATTAATAAATTATAATTGAGCAAACATTCACATCCACTAATTTATTAAATTACATTTTGATTATCACATTCATCACCATCATCACTCTTACAGCACTTCACAAGTCCACTGTCGTACAAAGCCTTTGCCAAGTAATACTACAAGCCACAGCTAGGAGCCTCTACAATCATCTACTTCCTGCTTGTCTTATCGGATCTTCATCTACCTAGTAGAGACAGGCGTACATGCCGCCTGCAGATATGGGGCTGCCTCTTTAGAACCTTTCTTTAAAAACGGTTGTTGGTTCTTCGATCTTTTGATTTTAACAATACTTGAAAGCAATTAAACAAAAACACAAAATAATAACATACCACGTAGCGCGTTCTAACGCCACCAGCGATAGAGAATTCGCCTATACCCCATATCCATGACAGAGAGAAAGTGAGTTAAATTACGACTCAATAATAATAAAAAAATTAAGTTATCACGCTGACTGTCAAGCATACAGCAAATATTCCTTCTTATATGGCTGACGGTGATAGTAAATTGTTAAAAGTATAGTAAACCACATTTTTAATAATTTACAATCACTTCGACAATCGATTTTTATATATAGAGGATGGCTACGTATACTATCAAATAATAACACTTTAAGTATCGGCCTTTTGTAATTCAGCCTGATTATCATTAAAACGCTTAACGAGTTTACTGCTGAATATAGGCCTTCCACTAGGGAGTATCAAAAACACGGTCCTAAGCCTTACCTCAATCTATGGACTCCCTGCATGTCTTAGCAGGTTTTCACTTCCACCACTAGCTTCATTCCAAAAACATACATGCTTCCTTAGTCGTTTCCCTACAATGACGAGCAAGTGGTATATCTGCTTTTAAAATTGCAATCAATGATTTCATTAGTACCGACGCGAATAAAACCTAGCCTACTAAGACACTTTCAGGTACATTTACAGGTATTATGAAATTTACGGCGAGCCTTAGCCTCTGAGCTACTGCGAACGCTCTTGCTAAAATATTAAATGATCAATGTTTTACTTACTGCATAAAAAATTGGTACTAAACTGAAATTTAGCACCCTAAGCCTTGTCGGAGATGTTCCATAATAAAAAGTTATGTCATCCACCAAACGATCGAATGGGTAGATGCAATATATAACTAACACTTCAGCTAACGTTACCATACCGATGCTGTATATGTACAGAATCCCTCGAGTCTAGAATTAAATAAACATGAAATTGTTCTTGGAACTTTGGTGCAAGTTTAAACTAATACAAATAAGTAGTAGCATTTTTGGAACGAAGTTCCTTATCGGACGGTACGAATTTGGTGGATGGGAGCTAGACGAGAAAAAGTGTAAGATTTTTCCATCACGGCCCATTCTGACGCAGTGTAGACGGCCTTGACGGCTATAAGGAAGCGAGATGGAAAACACTTTTTCTTATTTTGCCATGAAAGAAATATTATTTTATTTTAAATGATGCTTCATTTTAATACATTCGATTACACTGTGATTGTCTTCAAGGCAAGAGTGAATAGGCTTTTGTTAATTCAGTGCGCTTCACTTCGCTTCACGCTTCACCTTAGGATACATCACCATTTACCATCAGGTGTGATCGTAGATAAGCGCTGTCTTAGTAGAATATAAATAAAAGACGTCTCCTTCTCCTTTGAGAGATTTAAAAATACGTCAATGCCATCATTCCTTTACGTTGAACGCTGCATATTATAAAGATTGAATAGATGACGCTTATCGTAAAATTGAAACATACAGATTATAAACTAAAAAAATCTTGATTTTGCTAAAAAGAAAACATTTTTGTTACGTTTTGCTATATATGTTTAATATATAATAATTCATTTATATATATATAATAATTCATTTATATATAATAATTCATTTATATATATTAATACGTTTATCGGTAATAATATACCACGACAGAATCGTTGTTTTAACCGGTTGTTCCACGACACTCACGCATGTTTTTTTTTTATAGAACAAGAGGCAAACGGACAAAACCATGGAAATTTCAATTCCGTTGTCAGCCTTATAAAAAGGAATTTCCTCTTTTCTTGAAGGTCTGCTAGCCGATTTTACAAAAAAGTCGTGCAAGGAAGAAAACTTCACAGTTGCACAACTCGAAACATCGAGATCAGGTGGATCACACCAACGTGTGTATGGAATAAAACCTAATAATATGGATTATAAGCAACGTGCGAAGAAATGTTTCAGAGTTGCAGCCTCATACTCGTTTGGCAAAATCATTATTACAACTCTTCACAAGTCCATTGCTCAACAAAGGCTTTCCCCAAATACTTTTACAAAGAACGGTACTGAGCTACCTGCATTCACTTAAGTTGTGCTCATTTTACTAGTATGTCACTGCATCTAATAAGAGACCAGTAGTTAGCATAGCGGGCCATGATGTCTTCATCACATAAGAATGTTACTTATTCTATCGTCGGTCCTTCACTACTGGCCGCACGTAGAAGCTTCAGTTCACTTAGCGTGCTATGAAGAGAGCTATGCTCTGCAAGGTTTCTCTACGTGATAAACTTAGACATGAGGATATTCGCAGTGGAACAAGAGTAACCGACATAGCCCAACGGATTAGTAAGCTGAAATGGTTATGGGCTGGCCATATAGCTCGAATAACCGACAGCTGACGGAAAAAAGGATAACTGAAATGGCAACCTCTTACTGGTAAACGAAGTGTACGGCTCTTACTAGATGGTGTGACGACTTACTAAGATATACAGGAAATCAATGGATTTAGTTGCCTCAGGACCTTGCTTTGTGGCATTCCTTGGTAGAGGCCTATGTTCAGCAGTGGACTTGTGAAAGGCTGTTATGGTGATGATGATGATGAATTCTATCACGTTTATGAATAATTAAGTTACATATTTGTCATTTACTTACCAAAATATCAGAACACAAATTATAAATAATGCCAATTGCAATTAATATGACGGTAACAATCTTTCGCTTGGCCCATTTCCATTCACATACTATTATTTCTATCAAACATTGGAGTGTAATTACCTAAAAACATGATTTCTAGATCATTAGTACTCCTAAAGATCATCTGTACAATAATATTTTGTGATTAAACAGACTCCTTTATTGAGGTCTAATATAAAAGATTAGAAGTTAAATATCCAATAATAATAATAAATACTCTATTTAATTGCTAATAATAAATTGCTAATCATGAAACTATGAATCAAAATTTTGAAATCAATAGACGGCCTTTTAAAAAATAAAAAATGTGCCGATTTTTCATGTGCTCGGCAGTGAAACTGCATAAGGATAACTTTCATGTCACCGTCAACATCATCATAATAGCCTATCAAAAGTACACGGTTGAGCATAGGCCTTCCCCAAGAAACACCACAAAGCATGATACTGAGCATCCTGAATCCATTGACTTCCTATATCTCTTACGAGGTCATCACTCTATCTAGTAAGTGTTTAGAAAAAATTTTTCTACACTGTAATTAGATAGCATACATAATATATCTATGTAATAAATAACTAATTGTTTTTCGATTGTTACTACAACACAAACCACAAATGCAGAGACTGCGACGCAAGCTAAATTAGATATTTTCTTTGTGTCGATTTGCACAAATTTGTGCAAGGCAAAGAAATTGTAGCTATGGTCAGCCTATATCAATATAACGTATTTGAGTATATCCACCAAGTAAATGTACAATATATCCCACAAATATTTTACGCTTTATTAGAATGGATGTGATTACGGTTTGTCGATAAACTTCTTTGATAATAATAATAAAGAAATGATATTAGAAAATATATTAAGAAAATAATAGGTCTACTTTCAAAACCATCACTTACGATCGTTAGAAATTCAGTCATAAAACTCAACGTGAAAAATATAATAGTAAAGAAGTCTCCAAAGTAGAAATTGGAAAAATATATAGGCCATAAGAAGAAGAACGGGCTTGAATCTGAAATGAGATTTGTAAATAATCACATTAATTTTTCCGTAGTACAGCACAATACTTAATTAATAAACTAGTAGAAAATTTAATTAGAATATTAGAATCAAGATAATGTTATGTTAATAAGCCTTTAGAATAGTTTAATAATTATAATAAAAAATGGGTAACAATAGACTTTTAATAAAACGGGACGATATAGCGTAGAGGATTCTCTACACCAGTGGTTCCCCAACTTATTTCTGATGCGCCCCCTTTCTACCAAAAAAAAAAAAATTCCGCGCTCCCTTGCTCAGATAATTTTATCAGGTTAGAAAAAAGGAATTCTGTTCAATAACATCAAATTTTTAATCCTTAAAATTTACATAATATCATACAAAAACTATTTAATTATATAATATTACTTTTTATTTAGTCGAATGTAGATGGATTTAGCTTACATGGTTTTAACGAGGTTTCCGATTCACGGATTAAACACAGAAATCGCACAACGCAAAGCACTATCGATGTTACGAGTAAGTTTATTTCTGGACTTGTTTTACTGCTACAACAGCAGAAAATCTCCTTTCGTAAAAATATGTACAGGAAATGGGTAAATATAATTGAAGGGCTTCCTCTACTATTTTGGAATAAATTGTAAAATATTTGGCCCAAAACATTGATTCACCAATTTTGTCGGTGTACATATACTGCACCTTCCTACGAAAGTTTCTCGTCGTAAGGTCCCTAACTACGCAGCTAGCTCGTGCCCCCCTTTGCAGGTCTCTGCGCCCCCCCTGGGTGGCGCGCCCCCCACTTTGAAAACTCCTGCTCTACACGGTTATTTACACCATATAGGGTGACAATTTTCTTCAAATTTATTTGAGACGAATACCCCACAGACAAATTTAATGAAAAACATTAGTTAAAACGATATAAATTAATGAAGACGATAAACATATTTAAAAAGGAATATACATACCAATTGAGAACTTCCTAATGGGCTGTAAAATTGCATAAAACTTGTACAGGGATTTTTAGCAAGTCAACTGGACAATATGTGATTATTGAAAATATGAACAAGCGTTCCGATAGCGAGATAAATCTCAAGTTATTTCATCAATTATATCACATTTGAAATGCCATCATCATCAACTTTCTGCTGGGTTAAGCTGTAGTCAAAACCTCCCAACTTCGCAATGTGACGCCTCAACAATACATATTGCGTCAGGAGCATAAATTATTGTTTGGAAACAATAAATAAACTGACTTTAAATTTTCTATTATTAAAAAAATTTATTTTATTTTTACAGTAATCATTATTGAATATAGGACTAACTTTACGTGGTACTAAAGTAAATAGGGGACGTGCGGACGTGGGTGTTGTGTTAGATAATAACGCGGTTGTAGTACATGCAGTTGCCGTACAGCGTAAAGATTCGCATAACAGATCAATCAATCAATTATTTTTTATCAATTTTTTAAAAACGTTACCCCCACACTAGGATTTTCTCCTGTATCGTGGAGGCAGTTTACAAACATAAATTGCACAAGGACAAACATCCAGACCCGGAACAATTATTTGTAGGTCATACAAATACTTGTTCCGTGCGAGATTCGAACCCGCGGCCCCCAGCGCAATAACTGATTGCTAAGCCACTGCGCCACGGTGCCGTCATCAGATGAATGTATTTCACAAAATATTACATACAAAAGAATAATGAATGGTAAATTTCATGTAATATTACAATTTCAATTTGCATACACATTACGAGTGTGTAACACTATTAACATTTATGCGGTAATCAAGTTCTACTCCCTCAGATAAAAAAAGTTTCACCGCATGTTCATGTTCACCAGCGCAGAACTGAGATCCTTAAGTTGAGTCAAAGTTTTCGTCAAAGGTGGACTTATTAAAGGTTGTCTTTCACGTATCCCCATTAAAAGGCATCACAGAATGCAAGATGGTCTTTACGTGGTGGTATTTTCTTTACGTGGTAGAGCCATGCTGCAGCTATATTAGTAGCACGTATGGGTCGGCTCGACTGGGGAAGGACCAGGTTCTCACAGTATAATAGCTTAATATAGCAGCTTAACGCTGCTGTGTTTCGTTTGGTGTGTGTAGGAACCGGAGACCGCTTTTACAGGAAACAAGGCATTTCATCTTAGTTCTTACGGGTGACAACGCATCTACATTTTGATTCGTAGTCCAGAATAGATGTAGATGTCTATGGGCAATAGTAACTACTTAGCATCAGGTGGACTGTGTGCTAATTTGTCACCGTTATACATAAAAAAGATCAGAGACTACTGTTTCAAGTGAAACACTAGTTCGTGCTAAACATTTTACTTTATGTATGCAATGTACAGCCCTTGATCTATTAATACCAATAATTGGGGTAAATGTGGGTTAACTATCTGATGATAGCACGCACCAGGGTACAAATTTAATTTAATATTTGTTTATTTTTGTAACTATTCATTTTTAAAATATTATATATACAGCGTGGTATATAAAGGCGGTTATGTTGTTTTTTATACTAAAAACTAACAAATTAGGTCAACTTACTGTAAATAACGGGAAAGAGTAAAGGAGCTTTTACCATACTCTCACAATATGTTTTCAATTTAAAAGATAGCCAGCCTCTAAATATATAATACAATGAATTTGAAATTATCATGATTATACTGTCACGGTCGGGTTGTATCTGCAATTGTGTAATAATATTTTATAATTATAAATAATCTATAAAAATAAATAAAATTGAAGTGTCTGTTTGTAATGTCAAAATAACAGCTTTTTACTAATTGTATATAAAAGTATATAATATGGTAACTATAACAGAACCACAATTTTTAAAATTTTTGTCTGTCTGTCTGTTTGTTCTGGCTAATCTCCGAAACGGCTGGACCGATTTTGACAGGACTTTCACTGGTAGATAGGTTATATTATAAGGAGTAACTTAAGCTACTTATATTTTTGAAAAATAATTAGGGTCCGCGCAACAAAATTAAAACCCAAAATTACACGCGGGCGAAGTCGCGAGGAAAAGCTAGTTTATTCTAAAAACGATTTTTCTCTAACAACAATCCTAAATTAAACCTCATATTTCTGCCTTTAAGCAGCGGTGACTACAAATACTCAAAATTCGCGAATATGTAGACTCAATGAACTTGAACAAATATATTCATCATCATCATTACATCCTAATTACAAACTAAAAGTTAACACAGGCCACACTTGGCAGGCGGGCCGGCAGCATTATATCGAGTTGTTATCAGGAAGAGGCAGCTGTCCATTTCCTGTTTTATTTCAAGAAAGGGTTCTGAGTGGCAGCTTCGTACCAGAAAACACTCTGCCAGTAAGCAGCTGTAGGTTGGCTCCCATCAGAAAGTGAAAACCTAGAATATATGCAAAAACTACATCATCATCATCATTACAGCCCTTCACAAGTCCACAGCTGAACATAGGCCTCCCCCAAAGAATGCCACAAAGCACGGCACTGAGCCACCTGCATCCATCGACTTCCTGCATATCTTACCAGTTCGTCACTCCATCTAGTGGCCTACACTTCGTCCGCCGGTACGAGGCCGCCACTCGAGAACCTTTTTTGTTCTTCGAGCTATATGGCCGGCCCATTGCCACTTCAGCTTACTAACTAAACTAACTAAAACTACATAGATGTAGATAATTCACGGCCACATTTTGTGGCACATCTTTGTAAAAGACTTTGTTCAACTGTGTACTTGTAAGATGATATGTTGACGGAATCAATTTGATAATGATGATAACGATTCCGTCAACATATCATCCAAAAAAAATTATTAATCATACGTTACATAATTTCCATCTACTCTTATGTATGAATAAATAAATATATTTTCTAACGGGGAAGATCCACTCACTTACGCAATACCAGCGTAAAATAGCAGCTTAATACTGTTGTGTTTCATATGGTTAGTTTAAAGAAGCTAAGACCCTTATTATTGAAAATGAGGCATTCTATTCTTATATGAGGATTAATTCAGAGGTGAAAACGCATCCGCATTTTTATATTTATTCGAGCATAGATGTAGATATATGTGGGCAGCATCCACATTACTATAGGTCCGTGTGCTCATATTTAACCCTTATTCTGTAAGATCACTTACGTGACTTGTAGAACGTGATGTAAGCACATGTACAATAGGTGGCGCTGTCATAGACTCAGATAAAACGTCTAAATCAGCATCCTGTAAAATAATATAATTGTTTTCATATAAGCATACGTAGCGGATAAAAGCATATGTTCTATAATTATGAGTGTATACCAAAAGATAGTGACTCGGATCATCATCTAAAACGGTTACATTGTTATTGTTGGTTCCAAAATATGTACTCGTAAGAACCATATGACTGAAGCTCAAAACATACACAACATTTAACAACATCTGTACGTTATTTAATACCTGAAACAAGAAACAGTGTAGAGCTACCTGTTTTTCTCCTCATAACTAACATTCATGTAGTGTCTCAACCCAAATCATGTTCTGATGAGAACTTAAAATAGTAATAATGCGATTGCCAATCCTCCTGCCAAGCAATGCAACTATGGCAATCCTCTCTATCTCTAGAGGCAAACTATGGGAGAAGGCTATATTTAGCAGTGGACTTTTGATATACCTAAATAATCACAATCATGATAAAGAACTTTGGCACTAGTGGGGCTATAGTGGACTGAAGAGTCGGTAGTAGTATTCAGTGAAGACCGGGGGCGGCGGGTCGTGTGCCCTGCAGTAGAACGTATATAGGATGTAAGTTTAACTTTTAACTAGCACAAGTAGAGTTTTATTTTAAACAATAAATGGTACCGAAGTCGTTTATATCCGTAGTCCTCCGTCTTACCAAATAGTTCGTTCCGTAGTTCCGTAGCACAACAAGGAACCGTAATATTTTCGCCATGGCCGGCCGTCGAGTTCCGTCTGCGGTCTTAAGCGAAACTTCTAATTCTCACATTGAAATAATCATTATTAAAATTAATATAACTATAGTTACAATTTGGTTACAATTGTCAAAATAAAAATAAATATTAATATCAAAGACAGCGGGTAAAGTCGAGGACATTTATGAGATTTATAAATTACTAAAGACTTTAACCGAAAATTCGTGTAAGCTTCGATTTGTTAGCATTTCGGGCATTATCCGTTAAAAGTTAATGTTGAAGCTGTTATACGTCCCACAGCTAGGTACAGGCCTTCTCTCGTTTCTGAGAGGGTTATAGGTCAATTAGTCTGCCCAGCTGTTTCATTGTGTGTTGGGAGACTTTACTAGGTTTTCCTTCAACATCAAGCACGTGGTAAATCAGCTCCTAAAATAATTACAATTAACAATTTCCTTGGTGCAGGTAGGGTTTGCTAGCGTACTGTGTATTTTAATGCGAGCGATTAGCCCTAAACTACTACGGCCCACTATTACCGTAACGTGTTGATTTATTATTTAAAAAAAATAATATTCAAATGTATGCTTACCTTCCAAATATGTCTCTTAAACAATTGTTTGTAATGAATAGCTGCTACTATCCACAAAAAAATAAAATAGAAGTAATTTTCCTCGTTTTTATAAACACGATTTCTGAAATAACAATTTAAACCATTTGAAAAAATATAATAATGTATAGGGCAAATAGCTCAAAGAACTGACAATCAATGGGAAAAAAGGTTCTCGACTCGCAGCCTCGGTTCGGTACGCAGTTTTGGGCGGCTCCCCACTAGATGGGAGTGTTAACCTCATAAGAGATGCAGAAAGTAGATGTATGTAGTTGGCTCGGGACCGTGCTTTGTGATACTCCCCCAAGTAATATCACATTCCCTATATGTGTAGATGCCTATGTTAACCAGTGGACTTACGATGGTTTGTAATGATGATGATGATGATAATGATTAATGAAAACTTAATATATACAATGCTAAATATAAATAAGTCTACTGAAGAACATAATGCATCACCCGTACATACAGTGGATATTTGTCATAGCTACGATGTTTGAAGGCGGGTCCTTAATCGCAGATTTTTATTACTTTCAGTTGTTATTAGAAATATGCTGTCACCTATATCCTGCTTAGTTAAGTTTAAATGGCATCATGTCGTGTAGTGGAGGCGTAAAAATTCATTACTCGATATCATCCCGTGGATTTAGCTAAAATGCAGTTATGTGAAATCCCGGAAAAAAAAACATTAAGGCTAATGTTTTTTTTTAGCCTTAATTTTTTTTTTCCGGGAATAATGTTTTTAAAGTGGTATAGTTGTAGCACAAACGGATCGGCTCGATCAGGGAAGGATCACGTTCTCACAGAATAAAAATGTAAAATAGCAACATAACGCTGCTGTGTTTCATATGGTGAGTGTAGAAAACCGGATACACTTTTTACTGGAAACGAGGCATTCCATCTTAGTCCTCATTTGCATTTTGAAACGTAATCCAAAATAGATTTTGATGTTTATGGGCCACAGCAACCACTTACCATCAGGTGGACTGTGTGCTCGCTTGTCACCCTTATCTTATAATTAATAGAATCAGGCGTTACTTTGAGGAAATCCATTATACGACAATAATGTATTGAATGTATTGTGGTCAGTGGTGTGTCCTCCTAGTGTAGTGGTGTTGGGAGTAGCGGTGCTGGGATTAGTGGTGACGGGGATAGTGCACGCAATTGAGGGAGGGTGGGTGGTGCTCTGTATACTAGAAAAGACACATCATTTTATTTTATAACGCGGATATTTGCGAAGTAAATTTTTTTAAAAGTTTTTATTACCCTTATCTTATAAAAAATTGTGGTGGTATAACGCACGTGATAAAGAAAATAAAGTATACTAGGCGGTAGTACTCCATTTCTGTCTAGGAGTTTGTTTGGGTAGATACCATTCTCTTACCTATTTCTGTCACCAATGCCTGCATTGCAGTCGTTCATTATAAAGGATATATATATATTAGATTTATTATAAATTACTGGCTGTCTCTCATTTCTATCACAGACTACTAGACATTCCATAGAAGTACTTAGAGTTAAAAATGCCTTTGTAACCGTATTTTCTTGAAGTTGGCTCCAAGTGTCCAGGCACCGCAGTGGTCATTTGCTGTCAGGTGGTCTGTAAGCTCGTTTGTCACTACAGTTTAAAAAAATGTTATTGATAGTTTTAACAACCCAAGAGTGTGTACTCTTGCCACATTTTTTTTTAATTTTGCTTATTAAGTCGATTTGAAATATAGAAATTCTCACATGAAATATGAAGTAGGAGCCATTTGAAAAAATTCTCTTTTTGACGAAATATAAACTGCATATTTAAAGATAACAGTTTCGTTTTGCAACAAAGAAGTAAATTCATCCAAGTTGTAGCAAGAAAGTGAAAAGTTTCTAGAGTGAATAATTCTTGAAGGGCATCTGTAATAATTCAAATGTTAAAGTTATTTATATATTATAATAATTGAAAACATAATTTCCTTTAAAAGCCAAAGTCAAATTCAAAACAGTTTTTAAAAGTCATGAAATCTACGCACATAATATGGTTCAACAAGTTCATAATGCGTTTTACATGCGCCTTGAATTTATAATTCTTGTATTTACACGAATATTACACATTGAATGAAACTAGTTTTACGGACTTTATTGTGTTTAATTTACAAGACACAGTAAGGTCATCCTGCGTAGATATGACCAAAAGTAATAATTATAAAGCTGAAGGTTCTCCGGGTTAACTTTGACATCGGGACATCCCTCATCTCAGTCCCCACGTGACTATGGGTGCTGTATAGCATCCGAAACGTTGACAAGTAAAAATAAGTAAATTAAACACGATAAAATCCGTATAACTAGTTTTATTCAATTATACAAGGAATACGGTAATATAACAGGGAAACAAGTTTGTCCTATCGTATAAAATACATAGTTAATTACCCAAACTTACTTCCTAAAAAATTAAAACTATTACTTATAGTAATACCAATAATGTCCACCAGACCGAAATTTGGTTACGGTGGCCAATCTCAACGGGGACTTGCCATCTGCGCAGGACAAGATAATAGAGTCACCATACAGCGCATGTACAGGAGCACTCTCTATTCCTTCACTATCATAGTCTGATGGGACGGCGATCTAGCAGGATCAGAGAGATATCACCCGGAATCAACGATTTCACGTGTTTTCCGAGGCGCGGGGATGAACCTCGCTAACTTCCTGACTCCGAGCTTCTCCTGACAATTTCATGAAAGAAAATCCCCAATTACTTATCTTGGCCCAACCTAGGGCGTGAGCCCAGGACGATATGATGAGCAACCGTGGTTACTAACACTAAGACAACGAAAAAGTCAATCATAATATCATATAAGTAAGTACATAAATAATCATTTCTCTTACCATAAAAATCACGGATAAATTCCAACCCTTACATTAAAAATGCCTTATTGCTATTATTAGGTTTAATAGAAACTTTAAGTAGGATTATGTCCAACAGCATTTTTTTCTCATTAAGACCGGAGCACGTCCGCGTAGCGTGTTCGAGTACGTTTCGGCGGCAGTTGATATATTTTATGAAAGGCTACGAAGGTCGTCACACGTACACGGTTTTATTTTTTATATCAGTTTCATATATTACGGCTTTAATTGATTCTATTTATGTGACACTGCTTGTATCAAATGGCATCGTTGTTTATAAATTGTAGATTTATTATTTAAAAAATGTAAACGATGAATAGCTTTTACATTTTACTTAATTTCTCGCAAGAGTGAATTGTATGATCGATTAATTTTTAAGATTTATCTGATGGTTTTATGACAATAAATTTTTATCATTACATACATAAACCTTTTTTTAAATTTATTATAATTATTGCTTCCCTAACAGTAAGAATTTTACGTGTATCGTGGAGGCGTTTTACATACATAAATTGCATAAGGACCACCATCCAGACCCGGAACAAGTATTTGTAGGCCAACAAACACTTGTTCCGTGCGGGATTCTAACACGCGTTCTTCAGCAACGCAAGTCAATGCTTAACCAATGTGCGACCAAATCGAAAATAATAAACAATATTTTTACACGGATCTTAGTTAAATAAATTTTAACGTGTTAAAATTTTGAGTACGTTTTTTAAATTAATTTGAAACATTTATTACAAAAGGGACACACCTGTTCCAAGGGTTTCTGTAAATAATTCCAGAAATCACGTAATCGAACTGCAAAGCAACGAAGTCCGTGTATGAAATTAGGTATAAGAACCCGGATATGATAATAGCCCAGTTACATCCTAAAAATAACAACTTGTCCAAATACAAAGAGATTTCAGAAAATGGCAAGAAAATAGCTTTTTATAGTATAAGGGTGACAAACGAGTACACAGTCCACCCGATGGTAAGTGGTTGCTGTGACCCATATACACCTACATCTACCTTCATTTGAGAATTAAAATGCAGATGCGTTGTCAGTCGTAAGGACTTAGATGGAATGCATCTTTTCCAGTTTATTTTCCAGCCGACCCATTGGTGCTACAACTATACTATTAATAAAGCTGCAGCATGGTTCTACCACGTAAAATTTCATTTATTGATTTTTTAAATTTTTAAAGATTTAATTAAAAATTAAAATTTTACCTTTTACGATAAAAAATAAAAAAATCAAATACCGATGTCAAAAAACTAAAAAGAATAAAATAATTTCCATATAATTATTATACGTGGTAGAGTCCTTGCAGATATGGTTTTAGCATGAATGGGTCAGTTCAACAGTGGAAGGACCACGCTCTCATAGAATACTAGCGTAAAATAGCAGCTTAACGCTGCTGTGTTTCGTATGGTGAGAGTAGAGAACCGGAGACCCTTTTTACTGGACAACGCATCTGCATTATGATTGTTATCCGAGAACAGATGTAAATGTCTACATGGCCACAGCATCCATTAATCATCAGGTGAGCTGTGTGCTCACTAGTCAATCTTATATATATATATATATATATATATATATATATATATATATATATATATATATATATATATATATATATATATAGCTTCTGGCGACATTGTGTATCGAAGAACCTCAAAATTACATTCCTTATTTACACCTTTAAGGATTATATATACCTTATAATATGTATAGCACATTAAAAAATCACCAGTGGTTAAAATGTCTCGTAACATACATACAAAAAAATACAATCGAATTCAGAAACTTCTTTTGTGGTCGGATGGTAAAAATAGTAATTTTATTATCAATAGTTATTACCGTATGCGATCGGTGCCATTTTAGACAGAAAGAAATGGTGATCTGGTGCGTAGGAACTAAGGAACATATAAACATAGGTGTTGGGTAGACTTTTGCAGAATACGTTGAGTATGTGATACCATAGATATCTGTAATTATTAAATTAAAAAGTTAATAAAACGTTGCTGTATAGTAGTGACGTAAAAGGATCCACGACTTCATAATATTATCCCCATGATCGAAACAGAATGAATGAATTAAGAGAAAAGAGATCCAACATGAATTTATTTGTGACGTCATAGCGTACAACTTGACCTAAAGGATCCTTAACTGTACGTAGTCCGTCTGAGTACTACATTACCTCATTACCTACTTGTCAACTGCTAAACATAAGGGCAAGTCGAACTGGAATATCCAAACGCAGTACGTATATTTCTAGTACAGAAATTTTTCATATTCACCTACCTTTGCCTGTTCCGTTGTAGGGAAGATTTTTCATTGTCAAGCTTGGAAGGCGTAATGACCACAACTAGACGTGTTTCACCTTCGACACTACACCCATATGGCTTAAGCGGGATATCATTACACCTTTTATAGAAGACAATAAGATTTTTCTTCCATTTCCTGCAGTCATATCTTACAACAAAGTATATTATACGGAAAGAAATTTCGTGATGGTTTCTATTATGCCGGAATCACACGGCAAAAATAGAAAATAAATATCATTTTATAATAAAGTGTCTAGTTCGGCAGGCGTTATGGTCTTTCTGGTAGGTGAAGCAATGAGTTTCATACAAATTACAAAACAAACACAATTTACTCCTGACTTTTTACAAAGAAATTATAAAATTTATTAATATCTCGATTTCACGCGCCACAAATTGTGTTTAGATTTTGTGATCTTCTATTCTTTAATAAATCAATATAAATAATGAATATGAGTCATTTTGGTCTTAAATATTTTTTTAATAGCTTAACTACAACGCAACCTAGCGGATTCTTGCGTAATAATTAACTATGGCCTCGACAAAAAATATTGCGTAGTTATGATCTTAATCCGTGAAGTCGTTCAGAAACTACACGATCACTAACAAACGAACTAACGATGATGTAATAGATGCCCGGAGATAAACTGTTAGAAAGAAAGAAGAAATAAGGAAGAAAGAAAGAAGAAAGAAAGAAAGGGGAAAGAAGAATGAAATATTTTTTTTTATAGGAAAGGGTGACAAACGAGTACACAATCCATCTGATGGTAAGTGGTTGCTGTGATTCATAGACATCTACATTTACCCTCGATTACGAATCAAAATGCAGATGCGTTGTCACCCGTGAGGACTAAGATGGAATGCCTCGTTTCCAATTAAAAGGGTCTCCGGTTCTCTATACTCACCATATGAAACACAGCAGCATTAAGCTGCTATTTTACGCTGGTATTCTGTGAGAGCGTGGTCCTTCCCCGGTCGAGCCGACTCATTCGTGTTACAACTTTACCAAAAATATAGCTGCAGCATGGCTCTACTTTATACTAAATATATCCCTTCTTTGTTCTTTATTTCTAAGAGGGTCTGCCTGGCCGGCTAGTATGCTGCTCTTCCGTTTCCAGTACGTGGTTCAATGAGTGTCACAGTTTGGATAGCAACAAATCCAAGAAATTAACAAATATAAAAATTAACTGAACTAATCGACTAAATGAAAATAATATCTATTTCTAACCTGTTAAACATGTACTCTTCCATGCATGTTATTTGAGTTTTATTAGGAACTGTCACATGTGCACGATAGAAGGCTAATTTCTCGAATATAGTAGCTGGTATAGTCGGACGATCGGTGTGTATTTTCTTCTGCAAAAAATGTAGCACTTTAGTGTCTGGTAACATAAATTGACGTACAAATATTTTTAAATATTCTGTTTTATTTTAGTTTTAAACTTGCGTGTATGCATTCTAATAAACCTAGCTAAATCGACTCATGATGGCATTCGTTCTTTGTGGCATACCTTGGGGGACATATATGTCCAGCTATGGACTTATGAAGGGCTGTTGATTAGGGTTGCTTTGGGAAACATGATGATGATGAAATCGACTCAAATAGTATATTTTATATGACTGCATTTTTTAATTTGGGACTTCAGTTCTAATATAATGTCTTAGCACAGACTTCAGAAGTTACAATGATGAAATTATTTATCATTTTTAGTTTTTCAAGTCCGTTTTTTTATTTTTTATCTAAAGTTTTAATTATAATTTAATTTAATTTTTTCTATAATTCAATCCAATATTTTGAAATAAGCAATGCGTGTATTAACACCACTAAACGAATGCCACAAAGCTGAGCCACCTCCATCCTTGTACTTCCTGCATCTCTTACCCGAGTATCACTACATATAGTGGGGGCCGCCTTAATGTGTGTATGGACTATGATTATTACAAATTTTAATTAATTTAATGTATTACTTAATACCTGCTGCACTACGCGAATATGGTTTAACGTTTGTTCAAAAGGTGATCGATCAATGTCGAGAGAGGTTGTTGGTGTTATGGCCGCGTCCCAGTTCAGTGGCGATGCAGCTTTTGTATTATCGGCATAGTCTAATGTCTCCATGTTTTATTATGATATCTGAAAATTAATAAGACTAATTAACGCAATCTTTATGAAATGTGAATATTAATGTTACAAAAAAACTAAAATTATATAGTTGCCATGTGATGATAATAATAATAATTTGTTGTGGAGTGAATTTTGTTCACAGTGGACTATCCAATGGGAGACTAGCCATCTGCGCAGCAGACGATTAATTTGTTTAGATAATAGTACACGTGTTTGTGCACAAATACTGGTGCACTATTCCCTCACTTATATAGTTTAATAAAAGAAACAATTGACACGACCGGAGATGATTTGAGGTACGAAGGGGAAACATCTTGGCACAAATATAAATTATCCGATCCGGGATCTGAGAGATTTTGTTCCGAACAAGATTTCAAGCCTAGTACCCCTGATCACGCTTACGAATATTATACAAACATGGTAATCAATTGCCATGCAGTGGCACCTGACCCTGCAACCATCGTCGTATGACATGCAGGTAGCATATTGTAACAGGTCGTTACTCTATCTAATGAGGGAGCTTCCCTACACGGCTGCCACTCGAGAACCGTTATCCCGAGTAAATTGTCGGTTCTTGGAACAATATGACCAGCCCATTGCCACTTAACCTTACTAATTGGCTGGATGATATGTAGTTGTGGATTATCTTACGCCCCTACACGGTAGCTGATAAATTGATTATTATAGAAGAAGATATAATAAGTACATACCATAAAATCGTCTTCTGACGGTTAATACTTAATATATTCTCGTAGTCTCTCCTTTAAATAAAAAGATATATAATATATTTACAAGTAATTGCATAAATATTTTTAGAGTAATAGTTGTATATAGGATATGTCATACTTGACACTGACACTATACAATTTAAGAAAAAGTTTTTAAATATTTACACTATTATCTAAGTGCGTTATTCGTCTAAGTTGAAGAGTTGTGTTCAAGAAATTTTGTTTACAGTGTAGAATTAAGTCAAACAGTCGTGTTTGTCTCTATATTTGGGTATACTAGGGGCCATTATACCTGTTAGAGCCTGATGCAACTATATTATGGTTGTAGCACAAATAGGTGGGCTCGACCGGGGTAGGAGCACTCATTCACAGAATACCAGCGTAAACTATTAGTGCTAGTTAATGCTGCTGTGTTTTGTTTGCTGAGTGTAGAGAATGTAGCTATATTATAGTAAGCTTGGCCGGGGAAGAACTACGCTCTTACAGAATACAAGCGTAAAATAGTAGTTCTAGTTAATGCTGCTGTGTTTTGTATGATGAGTGTAGAGAAACGGAGACCCTTTAAACTGGAAATGAGGCATTCCATCTTTGACTTCAGGGGTTACAACGTATTTGTCGTTAATTGAAAATGTAGTTGTCTATTGACTACAGCATTCACTTACCATTACGTGAACTGTGTGTTTATTTGTCATCCGTATTCTATATAAAAAATCACATAGTGACAGTAGGCTGTACTACCGTCGATCCAGTTGTTGAAAACAAAGAGTGTTTAATTACTACATACGACAGAGACAGTTCGATTTGTAGATATGCTTTACGATTTGGTCGAACGAGAAGATCCGCCAAAAATTATGCAGTCGTGGTTGTGGAAAGCGCAATTACATTATGAATAGAAAAAAATAATATTATCACCACTAGAGCTATCTAATTTGCAATTTTTAGCCAATTTCAAAAAGGAGGAATACGAATACACGTATTTTTATTGTATTTTGACCGTTTTCTCCGATAATTGTGGGCCCATTTTGAAGATTCCTTTTATTTAAATAAGTTATATTTCAGAGGTGTTCCTATATAAATTTAGAGAAAAAAATTCCACCCGTAAAGATGTCAAAACTGGCTATGATTTTGTTTATAATAATAATCTCCTCGACCGATTTCGGCCACGGCGACCTCTTCAGCTCCGATCTTGTCGTTGGTGTGCTCGTGCATGGCTAACGTAGCCGATCTTATTTACAAATGTTCGCGTGCAATGCGGGCAGGTGAGCACACCATTACAGAAATTATAGTTAATCGCACAAGGTGGGCGTGCTTTGAGTTCATCACGTCGGGCGTCCAATTCAGAGCATCGATTCTCCTCAAACATTTTGACCTTGGCTTTCACCAAGGATCTCCACTCCGGTCGTCGAGCGGCTGCTTGCTCCCACTCTGAAGGCTCAATGTCGCACTTCGTCATGTGGCGCTTAAGTACATCTTTGTACCTGAGAAGTTGTCCGCCATGCTTACGCTTGCCCTTCTCAAGTTCAGAGAAAAAGATGCACTTAGCCGTACGCTGATCTGACATTCGCGATAAGTGTCCACACCAACGGAGTTGTCGCCCCATAAGGTAGGCTTCAATCCCCATGGTATAGGCTCTACGTAGCACTTCCGTATTCCGAATGCGATCAGACCAACGGATGTTGAGAATTTTGCGCAGACATTGCAAGTGGAAGCGATCCAGCGTCCGTATATGACGGCGGTAAACTGTCCATGACTCTGAAGAGTACAGTATGTTAGGCAGCACTACCGCCTTATAAATACCAATTTTGGTAGCCAGCTTTAGGTCATGTGAGCCACAGACCTTGCGATCCAGTTTACCGAATACCGCAGCCGCGGCACCGATTCGACTGTTGATTTCAGCATCAAGGTCACACTTTGATGTTATCGTGCTCCCCAGATAACGAAATGTATTGATCTGCTTAAGTATATCATCACCAAGTTTGACGGCCAGTGTCTCTTGACCGTATATATCTAAAGACATCACTTCCGTCTTTTTAACACTTATCTTCAGACCAAAAATACGGCACGACTCATGAAAGGTGGTCACAAGCTGTTGCAGGCCAGCTGGGGAATCGGCCACAAAACATAAATCGTCTGCGTAGACGATCTCTGTAATAAGTGCGTAAGACACTTTCGTACGGGCCTTAAGTCTAGCTAAGCTAAAAAGATTGCCATCGTTGCGGAAACGAATGCGAATTCCATCATGGGTAGTTTTTAAGACTTCCTGGACTACAACTGCAAAGTATAACGCGAAAAGTGTGGGTGCAAGGACACACCCTTGTTTTACTCCACAGGTAACGGGAAAAAATTCTGACTGATCAGCATTTACAGCGACGCAGCTCTGCATGCCATCATGCAGGAGTCTCAGAAGTCTCACAAACTTCTCCGTGCATCCAATTTTCCGCAGCACTATCCAGAGGGCTTCACGTGGTACACTATCGAATGCCTTCTCAAGGTCTACAAAACAGAGATACATATTACGACCCTGTTCTCTGCTTTTTTCCTGTAGTTGACGTAATGAGAAAATCGCCTCACAGGTACCACGGTCAGGTCGGAAGCCGAACTGGGATTCCGGCAAAATCCTTTCAGAAAGTTTCCTGAGGCGGTTTAAAAGAAGTCTGGCGAAGACTTTTCCAGGCACTGAAAGTAGAGAAATGCCACGGTAAGAATTGCAGTTTGACCGGTCACCCTTGCCTTTATATAGGGCTCGTATGAGGGATACCTTAAAAGTATTAGGGACTTGTTCTTTTTCCCACATAATGACAAAAAGTTCCCATAACGCTGAATACAAATCCCCACCGCCATACTTCAATAATTCACCCGGTATAAAATCAACACCAACCGCGCGTTTATTTTGCTGTTGCTTAATGGCAAGAGCAACCTCGCCAGGCGAGATTGGCTCATCTAGCTCGAGGGCGAAAGGTTGTTGAGGTAGGCAGCGAACGTGGTCTAGGTCAACAAAATGATCCACGTTAAGTAGGGTGTTAAAGTGCTCCGCCCATCGCCCGAGTATTTCCTCCCTGCTTTTAAAAAGCGCTCCACCACTAGTTGACTTCAGTGGAACTTTTGCCATAGAGGACGTACCGAGTAGATGTCGCACCTCAGCATAAAACTCACCGAGCTGGTTGGTATCAGCGAGCCACTGCATCTGACGAGCCTTCTCCTGCCACCACTTGTCTTTCGCTTGTCGTGCGAGTTTACGCAGCTCCAGATCACTTTGACGCAACTCCATCGCACCTCCACTCTGATGAGTTCTACTGTGCTGCTTTAGGAGCCTACGGTGTTTATCAATAGCGCCTGTAAGTATCCCATCATTCTCATCAAACCAGTCCTCATGTTTTCGAACTCTCAAACCCAAAGTAGATTTAGCAGTGTCGAGAACACAAGAAGATAGAGACTCCCAGACAACATCGATCTCACCTAATTTTAGATCGAGGGGCTGCAGAGCAGTGTTCAAGGTTTCGGCATATTTAGCCTTCGTGTTGGTATCTTGGAGTCGTTCGAGGTTCAGACGTATCTGTTTAGATCTTCCCACTCTACAAGGAGGTGGAAGACGAAGATTTAATTTAATAATAACAAGCCGGTGATCAGTCCAACAATGAGCACCACGCATGACACGGGTGACTTGGACTTGAGATATGTCTTTTTGACGCACGATGGCGTAATCGATAAGGTGCCAATGTTTCGATCTGGGGTGCATCCACGTTGCCTTGTACTTGGCAGGCAGTCTGAACATAGTATTTGTAATTGCAAGATCCAATTGTGCACAAAGACTAAGCAACAATTGGCCGCTGCTGTTCATTTTACCAACACCATGTCTGCCGAGAACTTTAGGCCAGGCGTCATAGTCTCGTCCTACTCGGGCGTTAAAGTCGCCCATGAGAAGGATTTGCTCTCTTGGACGAATACGATTTACGCACCGCGTCAATTCTTCGTAGAATTTATCCTTAATATCATCAGACTTGTCCAGCGTAGGGGCATAGACACTGATGATATTAAGATAGCTTTCACGTTCCATGTGAAGGCGCAATGTGGTAATGCGGTCCGAGATGTGTACAGGGTACTCTTGCAGTTGAGCAGCAAGGTAGTTCTTGACAGCAAAGCCTACACCAGACCTTCGCGGCTCCGAGGAAGCGAGTCCTTTCCAAAAGAAAGTATACCCGCCGCCATATTCTACCAACTCTCCTTCCTCGGGGAGGTGTGTTTCGCTGAGTGCAGCCACATCAATAT